ACACACACACACACACACACACACACACACACACACACACACACACACACACACACACACACATATATAATAAATCTTACACGGAAAAAATGATTTTGTTGTGAAAAATCTAAAAATTCAGCTAGTACAGATCTGAAAATAATTTTGTTTAAATCATCAAAATAATTATACAGAAAACTAACTGAAGTGTTGAAATTTTTTACTAAACTGGCATTGCTCATCGTGGTTGAGATTCCTACGTAATTATTTTAAATAATTTAACAAAATTATTTTTGGATGTGTATCCAGCTAAACTAAATATTATAGCATTCGTATTTAAATCTCATGGTAAAATAGGTTAGGTGGAACGATAATTACTCATTAATCATTTGAAATGCTTTAGAAAATATAATTCCGATTCTCATTATGCATAACTTCGTTACATGCAACTTCGTTGCATGAGTGCTCCGTCACCCTTCTGTCATGTTCGCACCGTATCATGTTAGGTGCTTTCACGGCAATTGTGCGGGACCGGACTCGCCCGAAGAAGGAAATCGATGCGGGTTATAAATGAGAGCTCGTCTCGCCGATCGTGGGACGTATATGTTTTGGCAGTGTCAGCACTGTAGTAACGTGACGAATTGTGTGTATCCATCGCGATGTACGCGGAGACCTGGAACGTCGTGGCGTCTGTCTCACGCATTTCGCGCCATCATTATGTATAATTATTCACCGGGTCACGTCTCCAAGATCTAGAACATGGCAGATTAGATTCTGTCTATCAATTTCATCCGACGATGTAATCCACGTGCACTGCTATCCTTCTACTTTGTTGTATTAACTAACAATATCCCTACCCCATAATTAATATCATTATTTGTCATCCGCTCAATACGTTTCAATTTTGATCCGTCATTTAATTTCTAATGCGATGAAGATTTAATTTAGCGCTAAGTCTGCTTTCTACGTCTTTGAACAAACGTGATATATTGAGCTGGTCAAAAGTTTTCACGGTTTGTCAGGTGATAAACGTCGCTTTAATGTATGAACATTTTCTTTTGTTTTAGCAAATGCATTCATAATCTAACAACATATCAACCTGTCTAGTAAAAAAGTATCAAGATGAGTAGAATTTACTACTTGTTATAAAAGATATTATAACAATGGAAGATTAAAAGACACATTTTTATCATATTATGTTATAAAGGTAAAAACGCTATGCAAATCTCGAAATGATATGTGCAGTGTATGAAGAGATAATGTGAAGGTCGCATGTATCAATTTTAGTTTGCAAAGTTCCGTGTTGAGAATTTCTCTGTTGAAGACAAGTTTTGGTATACTGTTAAAAATTTCATGAAATTTAATGTACTTTTAAGTACACAATTTGAATTTAATTTTATGACGTTACATTACATTTAATGTATTTATAACTGAAAAGTATATTTGTATATATGTACATGAAAAATGTATTTTTCGTGAAACTTTATGAAATTTAATGTAAACGTTCATTACATTTAAATATAACTACTGTAATTTAGTTTTCAGTTAAATCATTTATTACTTTTAATTTCATTTATAACTACGAGCTTCGTTTACATGTAAAGGAAGCAATTCTATAACAGTAGGCCAATTACAGTGGATGATAATGAGAGTGGATGATGATCTTGATTGAAAATAATTCACATCAAACTATTCAAGATATCGCAAAAAAGCTTAGAATATCTAAATCGAGTGTTGAAAGTCACTTATACAAATAAAAAATAAGAAGACTTTTTGGTCAACTCAATATTTTGATATATGAATTTATATTCATAATGAATAACGATGCACACTCGGATATATTTTTGTATCTCTTTTATTATATCTTTATTTATAAAAATCTGTGGAATCATAACTACTTCACTGAAATATATTATAAATATAAAAACCGTGCGTGCGTGCGTGCGTGCGTGCGAGGAGAAGCATATTTTTGTGGATAAGAATCTCAAATAATCACGGTTCAAATAATCACGATTTTACAATAAATACCGAGTACAATGTTTAGAGTAACGTCTGTCGAAACAAAATAAGGAAGCAAATTGCAGCGAGTTTACGATACTTGTGCCTAGTTTCCGATAGTGAAATGCATCGTTATGCAGAGGCAGAGAAGGGTCACTCGATACGAGATCAATCGCTTCC